GCTCTGCCGCGGCTGCCCGGGGCCGGGTTCCTTCGCCGGTCGGGCACCGAGACCTACCGCCGCGCGGGTCCTTTTGTTATTCTCCTTGCGACTCTGGTAGCCGCTCGGCTAGTACCGCCTCTTCTACCTTTTTCAGGCCGCAGGCAGGAGGAGACTTTCAGTTCCAGTCCAGAGTTAGCGTGCTCTGATTAAACCTCAGCCCTTGGCTTTCTCCACCTCCTGAAAAGTAAAGTTGGTATAGTTTTGGGGCAAACTACTCCAACTGATAATTTCTTCCTGTGTCAGTATTTAACCTGCGAAGTAAAAATGTGAGGTGTAGCAATCTTAACGATTTTTTTTTTTTTTTTTTTTTTTTTTTTTTTTTTTTTTTTTTTTTTAGTGGAGAATGCATATGACTAGTGTCCTTCTATGCCTTTTTTATCTGGTTATCTACTGAGATGAAAAAGTTTTCTTTCTTACTGAAGAGAGAGAGTGATATCGATAAAAATGACTGCTTTAATGAGAACTGTCACTTAGTAATCAAGTCACTTTCTATATACACTATGAGGTGACATGATAGAACATTATACTTAAATGATTTTTGGCCAAAGCTCATGCTGCTTGGAATTAATAAGAGCTATTGAAAGCTCTTGAGGCGTCAAGAGCATGTTGTTGATGTCTTTAGAGACTTGTCATGGGTCAGAATTGTGGATGCGATTGCTGTTCCTATGCAATGGGAGCACTTATTTGTAAGACTTCTTATTGTGTTTGGATGTGGGTTCCTCCCTCTCCTCCCCCCCCCATCAGAGGGTATAGATGGGTAAGATGATCTGTAATGGAACACAAAGTTTGAGCCTGTGATGAGTAGGTTGGTTTTATGCATTTTTCCAAAATAGGTAGTAGTAATAGCAGCAGAAGCAGGCTACTTAGTAAATTTGGAAGTTTATGCGAATTTTCTAATGAGTTGATAGCAGTACAAGGGACATTGCTCCCTCTTAATACTGGGGTGTGTTTGGGGGGCATTAAAACAAAATGTGAAGACTGGTCTCCAGCTTGTGTGGCCTCTGCAAGGTAGGGTTGATACAAACTTTTGCACTCAAGAAAGTGTGTTCTTTTCAGTGATGTTGCCTGTAAATATGTTGGGATTTTACTGCTACTGAATAGAATCAAATATCTCAGGTGAATAAAACAAATTAGGTGTGATATTAAAAAAAAAAAAGAGAACCCTAAGAACTGTGGTGTTTGGGGTTGGTTTGTGTGGATTTGGTGGTGGTTGGGGGGTGTTTTGTTTTTTAATTTTGGCTGTATGAGGTTAGTGGAGAGGTCTTGCATTTGGGAGGTATTTCAAAAGATTACAAGAGCTAAACTTAACACACAGATATTTGGGCAAACTACTATTCCAAAGGGGAGAGAGGAAAAAAACAAACAAACCATACACATAAATTACTGGATAGGATAAAACAGCAGTGAGAATATAATATCTTCGGATTTAATACCCACTTAGTATCTCACACCTTCCTGCTACTCCATAATTTCTGAGACCAAAATATACATCAATCTCTGTTTGTCCTATCTTAAGCTCCAGCAGAACTACAGTTATAATCTTTTACTGAAGAGCTGCTAGAGAATATATATTGGCAAATTGTTAATACATTTTTTTTGCTTTTGAGGGGGTGCTTACCTAACAGGATCTTAATTTTTGAAGTAGGCATTCAGTTGTCTTTGTCTCTAATCTCTACTTGGTAGTAGTTTGTGATGAGGTTTTAGATGCTTGTCTGCCCTTGTCAGGGTAACTGAAGCCTGTGGAGACCATATACGTGAAGCCTGTGGTCTCTCATATGCAGTGAAATTTTGGATGTAGTCTATCAGTGTTTAACTAAGTCAAATGCCTCAAGACTTGGAAAGGTATTTATAGAACATAAGAAAATCTTTCATTTACTAGGGCACGGTATAGTGCATAACCAGTTGCAAAAGCAAGCAGGATGCAGAACCTGAAAACTTGGGCTTTTTTCTGTTGAAAAGTTACTTGATTGGCAATGTTCTGTAGGACATACGTTGTTTTTATGCCCTCTGAGAAGTTGGCATTTCCCTTGAGGTGCGTGTTATTTATTGGCTGTTAGCCACAAGAGATATAATTCAGGTATTTGAAAGCATCCTGTAATACGTTTCTTGGCAGAAAAGGTAGCTGAATTACTAAACTATCTAAGAATGTTTTAATGGTTTATAAGCACAAATAATTTTCTCAAATTATTATGGGCAGCTTAGTGTTATTACAGTGGACCACCATGTACTAACAGCACAACTGAAATCCTGCCATATATCACAGTTCATTTACATCTGTTGCCAGCGCATGGGCTCACAAAATATTTAAAATTACTTGCTGTATAATTTGGTGAAGTGGGAGGGTTTTTTTTTATTCTGAGGGTATCTTTTCAGTGGCTCCACATCTCCTCCATGTGAACAGACTAAAAATTGAAGTGGTATGTACAGTTTGTGTTGACTAAGTCCTGCAAATCTTCTGATGTAACTAAGATACAGGTGCATGTGTTGCGAATACGAGGGGAATGTTGGACTGAATATGGGACTTCTTGTGTGTGTGTTTACTGAGTGTTAATTGTCCCTTTTAAAAAACTTTATTTGGTGTGAATTTAATTGCTAGTTTGAAGTTGAAATTATTGATTGTGGCCATCCATGCAAAACTGACTTTGGAAAAAAGCTAGAAGGAGGGACTTGAAATAGCAGCTGTCCTAGGAACTGCATAAAAATCTGGTGCTTTTAAAAACTTGTAGTTAAGGTGTCTGCACTGTAAGCCACTTTTGATCTGTAAATACTTAAATTGGAAGCGTGCTGTCTTCTAATCTTTAAAGGGCATAGCAGATGAACATGAGATGAACATATCTTAGGTGGAGTAGGTCAGTGCCTGGTAAATCTTTTCAGCATGAGCATCAGGCTAAAGGGCATAGCAGGAACACACAAGATCTTTAAAACAAGGATCTCTGTGAGCTACAATTCGTATGGTTATAGTTGTATACTCTTACAAGTAATTACATATTAATGGCATGTGAATCTTGCATAATTCTTAACCAGTGCTTAAATGTTTAATAGAGTGCTAACACTCCTTTCATTAATTCTGTGAGCTTGTTTAGTGGAAGAATTCTACTCTCCTGGCTGTCATAAAGGCTTGTTAGCTATGTGTGGAGTTGAGAACAAGTTGGCCTGACTTCATCAACTGTCAAGTATCAGCTCTTATTTAAAACGGGTAGAAGCGCAGTAGGGAGGAGGATTAAAAACCTTCATTGGAGTTTTTTGACCATGTGGCTAACACAACCCTGAGTTTAGGTACAGTTTGACAATGAAAAATAAACTTTGCTTTGACTACTGTTCTGGGTGAATGGAGAATCCTCTCTTGAATTTGAAAGCACCATGCTGTTGCAACCATCGTGTCTAGAGCTGTTCTTGCATCATATGCAGTAGTGACCTGTGCTCTACATGTTTCTTCTGCAGTCTCAGTCACCATGCTTGGCTGTTACTCAGGCAGTGAAGGTGCAGAAAGATTGTTCAGCTTATGCTGGAATTGAAAACCTGCCTTGTGGAATGAGTGGGCCACTGGCTCTTCCTTAGCTCAGTTCTGTATTGCTGTCTGTCCTGCTGCTGTCTAGAAGTTGTATAGTGGCATCACTGCAAAACTGAGGTGATTAAGTTCTGTGGCTGTATCGCTTTGTGTAGAATACTGGCTTTCAACAGGAATTTACAGTCTAAAAATAACATTTCTTATTTGCCGGTTTGCCAGAAACGGGAATAGTATGGGTGTTTGCCTACAGAAGAAAGCCATATCTTTTGTGGCGTAGTAAGGAGACAGATATGTGTTTATCAGTTGCACAAGTAGGAAGTCTGAGCCCTCTTCCCATTAGTAATAGTGTTTCTGTTGTCAAGCTGCTGTCGAAGTAGTTTCTAAGATGTGGTTCAAACATAAAACACAAGGTGGGGATAGTATTTTGTAGGTCAAGTCCAGTAACTAAGAGGTTGTTGATGTTGGGAAATGATGTTATTCCTGATGTTAACTTCTGCAGGGTGTGCAAAAATGTGTGTCTTGGCTATAGTAGTGAAAATCGGAGGCCAAAATATTTCCTGAGTGAGCAGTGCTTATATACAGATAATATAATGTGTTGTTTACACTATAAGTAAAAGTTTATACTAAAAGCAATTATTTTTGTTTTAGAGGGACTCCGAATATGTCTGGCATAGCTCTTAGCAGACTTGCACAGGAGAGAAAAGCCTGGAGAAAAGATCATCCATTTGTAAGTATGAGCACTGTCAAATTTCTGACTCTGCAGTTATTTTGGTCTTCTGATGATGACTTTTTTCTTTACCCTGATGTGATTTGTTTATTAAATTAATTTTTCAAATAAAAAAGCTACTTAAAACTATGTAGTGCAAAAATAAGTAACTCTCTGTAAAGATAAAATATGTCATGAAGTATTCTAAATACAGCTTCTGAAATCCTCACACTTTGGCTTTTTGCCTTAATTCAGGGATTTGTAGCAGTACCTACAAAAAATCCAGATGGCACAATGAATCTAATGAACTGGGAGTGTGCTATTCCAGGAAAGAAAGGGGTAAGACTTTCTGTTGTCCTAATACCTCACTTACGGTGAAAAGTAACCTAGGCCTGCTCATGCATTACGCTGACAACTGAGAGTGTATTTTACATGTAGTTTAATAGAAATGTGTGGATGCTGCTGCTACTTTATAATCCAGGTGGAGTGGGCCAAGAACAATATTGGACAAAATACACCATGAGCCTGTTCAACTGTTGGCAATGACCACCTTAAGAATAAAAGTTTTCAGAGAAGCGTGTAAGAATCCTGCGCTGAGCAAACTTGAAGTTGTCTTCTGCTTCATGCCTGGGTGACTTCTGTTCTTACTATATGCTTATGTGACTTCTGTTCTTACTAAATGCTGGTTTAAGCCCTACAGCTTGAAAATGAATACTACCAAAATATTGCCTCTGCTGGTTAAGTGCTGGTACCTCTTTTGTCCATAAAATAGTGAGAGCCTTCAGTCCCAGAGAAGTGCTGTAGCACTGTTTTTAACTTTTTTGATTTCATGGAAAATAATTCTGTGTTATCAACATGGAATCTCATTGCCGTCTGTTTTATGGGATTTTCTCTCTTTGTATTAAAAAAAACTGATTTCACTTGTGCTTCTGTGTCCCTTTTCTTAAAATAACAAGGAAAAGTCTGTAGAGACCAGAATTGTTTATTTTTATCAGGTTCATCTGGATCTAGGGGATAGGACAAATGCAAACTTTCAAGTGGAAATAATCATTAATGCATGAAACTTCTTTGCTTTTGTAGACTGCCGTTATAACATCTTACTCTGAACAGAATCTTGTTTCTATTTTTCAAGGTGTTACTTAGTATGTAGAGATTATTCTTGAATTCATTGGATACAGTTCCTTCTTCTGAGATAATACTATTAATTACTTGGTGGTTTTCATTCTTTTGGGTCTTCAGTGTTTTGCATGGGACGTGGGACTTGTTTTTTGCTTTGCCTGTTCTACTCTTACCAACTTGCTTAAGTCCCCTTAAGCAAGAAGTTCTGAGAAGACCAAGTGTGTAGGCAAAACCTAAAGATTCTGTACTACTACCTCGGTTTAATGCTGAACATGGCATTGCTGTTATGGTTATAACTCAGCTCAATACTTTGGTAAGTGCACCACTCAAGTTAGTTCTTAAAGAAGCACCTAAAAATAATGCAACAGTGTAAAGAAAAACTCATCCCCTTGTGCTTTGTAAAACAAGATTATCCTTCATAATGGCCAGTTACGTACCTTATCAAGATGACACCTTTTAATACATATGTAAAATCGTCGTGCCACTGCTTTGGAGTTTTGTAAACCAGAAAATGAAGCGGACAAGACCCTTAAAGCCAACTTCTTGCCTCCTAGAAAATGCATCACACCAGGACAAGATCAGTTATGCTCATGTAATTCTTGGTAGAGGTTTATTTAAAAAAATCGGGGTTTTCACTTGAGTAAAAATGCTGTCTCTTTAACATGAAGCATCATGCCTTGCTCATCTCTATCAGACCAACCAGTTGCTCTCCATTGCCTTTGTGTTTGGAGGCATGCTGTACTGCAGCTGCTTCCCCTGAGACACATTGGTTGAAACCACCAAAATGCTTTCCTGTCAGCCAGATCAAAAATTGATGTAAAGTGGTGTTAGTCCTGGGTTGGATATCTCCATTCATTTTTTTGACAGTAAATCACTTGTTAGCTATCTAGAATTTGACTGGAACATCTGCAACCTGTCCAGTAACACAATACAAACTTGATGATAGTGCTGTCATACTATTATCTTAGTAGGGCTTTTGAGTGTCTGCTATATTTCACCCGAAAGTTATGTTGCACTATCAGAAAGGCAGTAAAAACTTCTGTTGACCGTTCTGGTGTTCTACTTGAAGAAATTATTAAAAGCTATTTGTCTTCCCCTATAACGGAAAGCAAACAAAATAGGAAAAGTGTATTCTATCAAAAGGCTCCCGTCTTCTAAAAATGGACAAGTTTGTCTCCTGAGAAGGTATGGAGAATAGATATTTCTAGTTGTTGACAACTGACTACAGCTGTTCAGAACAAGTTCTTTAAATACACTATAGCAAATGTAATCAGCCTCATTTGCTTTTTAAAACATGGTTATCTCAGTATTCTATAGCATGTTCTTTTCCTATGCAAGCTTCAGACTTTGCACAACAAATACCAATGGTAGTGGAGTGGGTTTTTTCTTTTTTTGGGGGGTGGGTTTTTTGTTTTCTTTTTCCTTCTGCTAAAAATCACATAGCTCGGGTAGGAAAGAATTAGGGGGTTCCTCCTAAGGTGGTCTTCAAACATGCCTGTCTATCCCTGAGGATAACATTTGATCATTTATGCTGATAAGATGTGAGCCCATCTTTACTCCAGTTTGTTTTGAAGAATGAACCCAACACTTCCTTTCATTGCAGTGTTTCCATAGCGAGGGAAAGTTACAGAGAAGTGGTCTGAATTTTACATATATAATAAACTTTTCTGTATTTCTACATTTCTTACCAGAAATCAGTTTGTCAGAAGATGGGCTTTTTTCCTTATTTCCAAGTAAGATGACAAGGGAGTATGTATTTGAGACAGGCCTTTTGTCCTTTGCTAGGTGTTTTTCCTTGTTTATATGACCCTTTTGAGTAGTGCTGTCTTATTTGATCTGCTCTGTAGCATGGGAACTGCTCTTATCAGTGCTCATCCCGGTTTCTGACGGGGATAAAAAGCTGCTTAGAATTTCTCTTATGCAAAAAGATGGAATCTGGGAGCCTACTTGCTACCGAATGCAGGCAAGGTTAGTTTAGATTAGTGAACCTCGTGTTACCTGTAGCAGTACTACAGTGCTGTCCTATTTTTTTTGTTGTTGTTTGTGGTTTTCTTAGCCACATTCTTGTGAGGCGAAATAGAGGCCATTTACATCCACATGTTTAAGGGCTGTTTCCATATCCTACCTTCTCAGATTTATTTTAAGTGGGGATATAATGGCCCCTTCCTTACTGCATATGTATCATGTAAAACTTCAGAAGTACTCTGTTCTTCTATCTACTATTAAAATTTTACTTGTATATAGAATTATTTGTGCTGATCCTGACTCTGTTGATGACTTAGCAACACTTACTAGCTGTAATGGAGTGGAAAAGCAGGGTTTTCTTTCTTCAGCTCCTCATGTGTGTAGGATAACTTGTCCCAGTCTAGACGGCATGCTGCAGTATAGGACAGCTATTTCCTGCTGCCTGGCAAAAGGATGTCTTGTGCTTTGCCTGTATTCTTGATAAGTTTTTTCCACAAGTTTGACTTTTCCTTGCTGTAATCTAAGCTCTACCTTAACTTTATATAGACACCGTGGGAAGGAGGCTTATTTAAACTACGAATGCTTTTTAAGGATGACTACCCTTCTTCACCCCCAAAATGTAAGTAAAACAACTAAAACCCCACGGGTTTATTAGAGCAATGTTAAACTAGTCCATAAGGTTCTATGAGTAGTTATTTCTTACAGATTCCTTTTTTAAAGGAAAGTTGCTTTTTTTTTTTTTTCTCCACCCACCACTTCGCATTTAGAAAGTTGTGATTAAATTAGTTAAGTGCTCAATATATCAAAATTGGGAAGGGAGGGGGGTTGCTGTGTGGGTTTCCTCAAAGTTTGACAAAAGCACCACTCAAAGTGTTCGCTGCTTGATCAGTACTCTGGGAATTAATAAGCAGGCATGGTTAGACCAAATCGCTCTGCATGTTTTTACTGTTAAGTTGGTTTTCTAAGCCAAGAACTCAGAAGGCAAGAACTTTGAGGGGGAAAAAAAAATTAAAAAAAGGTTCCATGGGCTTGCTCGAAAATATGGATCCGTTCTTTTTCTGGTACTATGTACAACAGATATCTTCAGATACCTAGTTTCCTTATTAAGTTTTTGGATTTTGCTTATCCCATCTCAAACTTACCTACTTTAGAAATCTGAAAACATCTATTGCCTTGCCTAGCTTCTTGGTTCTTGAATTGGCTACCATCTCAAATCAATGGCAGTGATTACAAATGGCTGTTTTGATGGTGGTTCATTTCTCATTTCATTTTAGTGTTTCAGCTGTATCAGATTTCTCAGCTGCTCCTTTTGTTTGTTACCACCTAAATACATATGATACAAGGGGAAACATGTCTTTCAACTAGAAAATATTTAACATTAATATCTTGAGAAATACCAACTAGCACATCCTGCAAGTCTTAAATGAACTGTCATGACTTAAAATAAGATGTATATGTGACTAGTAAGACTTCTTACCAATGCAGCTTCTGAGTTCCTACTGAACTTCATTGAGCAGCTCGTAAGCAGGACTTACTTGTGATGTCAGATGGATTAGAGGACTGCACAAACACGTAGATATTTCATATATTGCTAAACAAGTGTTCATTACATTACTCAAGCTGGTGGCTGTTGCATTTAAGTCCTGTTAAGGTGAAAGAAATGCCAGAATATAGATCGAGTGGCAGAAGGAGAGCTGCATGAGGTTATTCCTTCAGTCACTCTTGCAACTTAAACTTGTTTCTTCTTCAGTGCATCTTGATTATACATAAAGAAAAAGTGAAACTGGAAGAAATGCTAGAAACTTAGTTGTCTTTGTATGGAACTTTCAGTATTTTAAAATGAGAAGAGATGAGTGAAGGGCAGTATCTTTCCTTTATATAGTAGTATGTGAGGCTGTAAAGACAGGCTAGTTTAAGAAGGTCTTGATCATAAAGCTACTACAAACTATTTTGTCAGGTTTCATTCCTAAACCACAAGATTACTGGTCACAATGGCAGTGTTACATTGTCTGGATTGGTACTACAGATGTGATGGAGTTCCTGCTTTAGGTGCAGGCTAAGCCAAGAAAACTGGTATTAATAGCTCGAGAAATCTGGAGGGTTTTTTAGGGGGTGTGGAGGAGTCCTTGGCCAGTTTTGTTTGGTTTTGTTGGTTTTTTTCCACTGATCCAAACTAACTTTCTGATCTTAATCTTAGCGCTGCATGCAAGTAATTCTCTCTTCTTCATCAGGTAAATTTGAACCACCGTTATTCCACCCAAACGTGTATCCTTCAGGCACAGTGTGTCTCTCCATCTTAGAGGAGGATAAGGACTGGAGGCCAGCAATCACAATTAAACAGGTCATCAATTGTACTTAAAAGTATTCTTAGCCCTTTGCTTTGCGTGCTTATCTGATGTGAATATAAGATGTTCTTTGTTTCTACAGTTGGTTTCTAAGGGAATGTCTCTTAGTAGTATCCATGCCTATGTTACTTCTATTCCTTCTTCCACAGATCTTGTTAGGAATACAAGAACTTCTAAATGAACCAAATATTCAAGACCCAGCTCAAGCAGAGGCTTACACAATTTACTGGTAAGTATCTTTGCATATCAGCTTGAAAGCTGTCATATTGCCTACAGCTGTCTGTTACTTATACTATAACAAGCAAATGTTTTTTAGGAATGATCAGGGGAATTTTCTTGCCTTCATGGCTGTATCCTGTGGAGATGCCTAGCTTGTGCTAAACTTGAATGAAACAGTAACTTCACGGTTAATAGGCTAGTGGAGCTTTTAGTAGCATCACAACAGCAATAAAGTGTGAAAACTCTTCAGTTAGACCATGATTCTTATCCTGGTTCTAGCCCAACATAGAATCCTTTTCCCTAAAAGCTAACTGAGTAGTTGCGATGAGGCATAAGGATTTCATGAGACCGGGGACAGAGGAGACTGAATTAGGTGACAAGTCCTATTCATCTGTATAAGAGTAACTTCTGTCCAGTGTTGGGTACTTATAAACACTTGGACCTGGAGGATAAAGAAGAGCTGCTGTGATTGCTGTAGGAAGTATGGGGCGTTTTGTGAAAAATAGAACTTCTAAAAAAGTAGGTTAAAAAGTACAGAAAGCTTGTAGCTTTAGCAGAATGAAGTTCCCCTAGGTCAGGAAATCTTAATTTCACAAAATTAATTGTGAGCTAAAAAGTACTCTTAAGGCTTAATCTTAAAAATTTCCCACCATTAAAAATGGATGCCTGATCTATAATCTTTTAGGGGAGTAAAACACTTTGAACAAATGCTTTTGGCACTGACAGCTATTGAAATAATGACCAAGGTGGAAATGTGAAATTACAGATCTGGACAGAAGAACAAGTCTCCAGGAGAGTGCCAGCTTTGAAAAATGGCATTTTATGAGACTGCACATGCAAGCTATGTCAAAAATGTCTGTTATAGGATCCTAGTGAAAAGGAAACTTAGGGATGAGTACTGTGTTTTGGATTTAATTAAAGGCTTCACTCAGTGTTGTCTTTTAAGTACCTACTGAAGAGTTGATGGGACTGACTGCATATGGAGGACAGTTCAGCAGCCGCAGTTGTAGGCAGCACCTTTGGGATCCAGGGATTATGAGGCAGGGCTCCCCCTCCTTTTTTTTTTTTTTTTTTTTTTTAAGCCACTCTGAGGGAAGATGGGGCAGGAATAATATACTTTTATACACATAAAAGTATTCTGTGTTTTATTTTTTTTATCACCTCCCACATGCATGTATTTGCAAAAAGTCTTTGCTAGTCTTGTTTCTGCTTTATTGTAAGTGCCCCTAGAAAAAAAAAATCTGTTGAGAATAAACTATTACATTTGGGTTTTATTCAAATATATATAGTCTCCCACTTATCCTCTCCTCTTCATGTCTTTTGGACGTGCGCAGTATTTCACATGGGTTACTGTATTTCTTTAGCCTGAGAGTGTGTGTCTCTTACTATTTAATGAGTAACTGGTAGAAGCAGCTCAACAGAGTAGGATTGTGTAGGCATCTGTTATTTGGCATAGTTGATAAATACTGGGGAAGATGCAATGTTGTTTAAATAGACATCTTTTAGTCAAGTTGTTAAACTTCAAGAATAAACTATGTATTCAGAATAAGAATACTTGTTCTCATTCTCAGGATTACTTTGGTACTGTTGCTCTGTAACTTTAGCGCTCTTGACGTGCTAACTGACTCCCTCTGCTGTAGGCATGCAGGGTCTACTATGGCAGGCATTCTTTTGTGGGGATTCTGAGGGTGTGAGACTTAACAGCTAGGTTGTGTTCTCATGTGACAATGCGATATAACTTCACAAAAAAATTTTAGAATAACATTTGTAAATGTGTTTATGAGAAGAAACTAGAGTATTTTCAGTCTGTTTGCTAATTGTTCATAGGATGTGACCAAACTTGGCTTCATTTCTTCTCCCCCCCCCAAAACTGTCAACTTCTGAGGATATAATTTGCTGCTTCTTTCTTTTTAACTGCAGCAAGCCTTCATAGCTGAAAGTTAAGTTTACTGCAAAGCTGTCTGCAAAATCTAGTCACTGTAAACTACCTTTGGCACAAGAGTAATGGTAACAAATTTTTGTTCAGCTCTTGACTGACGCTTCTGATAGCTAATACAAATATGGTGTTGAATGTAAATGGATGCTCTACTAAGCTACTACCATCCCTTGTTGGCCCAAGAATAGAAAACAACGAACTTGCCCTTTTATGTGTTGAGTCTGAGGCTTAATGACTCGTCATAGTTCCTTGAAGTAGTACTTGCTTGTTTAATCAGTCTGTAGCAAGTATGCTAGACTTTGTGAAATATAGCGTTTTTTCAAAATGGTGAGCTAACTTTTTTTTCAACCAAAGGTTAGGATAAACCTAACACTGTAAGGGTCTGCAGAGATAAAGGCTGAAACTACCATACCGTTACCATTTTCCTGTTTCTTAAAGAGCGCTTCCCCTCTCTTCCCAAAGCAGTAAAGATGATACTTGAAAATCATATGAAGTCCAACTGTTAGTGAACTGCTCTCATCAACTACTTTGTGCTGTTCTGATACTGGAATTTATTGTTAATGACCTCAGGTCTTAACATGGGGAGTACAAAACATGTTCAGATGAGTAAGAATGCTTGCATGTAAGGTACAGCTGGCCTTGAGAAAGAGCAGGCACAAGCCTGTTTATATAGACTGGTATGGTATACAGTTCGATAGTAAAATCATTTGAGAACAGGTGAAGTTTTGGAAGTAACTAGTTAAATGGTACCTTACATCCCTCCAAAGGAAATTATCAGCGCTCTGGTCCAGAAAAGCCTTTAATATATTGTAGTGTTCAGTGAATTCCCGTCTAATGGTTTTGCCTTCAGCAGTGACTTAGTTTCATATTGAAGAGAAATAGAAGAACAATAACTCTATAGTATGGCCTCTGATTTCTCAACCTGTAATTACCCTTTCTCTCTCTTCTATTCAGCCAAAACAGAGTGGAATATGAAAAGAGGGTTCGAGCACAAGCCAAGAAGTTTGCACCATCATAAGCATCTGTCATGCAGCATCTTAAAAAGGAAGGGATTGGTGTGGCAAGAACTTGTTTACAAAACTTTTGCAAAATCTAATGTTGCTATGTACAATTAATATCCACTTAGGGGAGGGGGTTGTATGTGTGCCATTTTCCATATTCGCCACTTGTATACAGTTCTAAATTTGCTGAATTGCCCCCAGTTTTTTCATACAGGGTCTCTTCCTTCAGTCTTTTGTATTTTTGATTGTTATGTAAAACTTGCTTTTATTTTAATATTGATGTCAGTATTTCAACTGCTGTAAAATTATAAACTTTTATACTTCTATAAATTCACTAGTATCTCTAGTTACTTTGCTATCTGATGCAGGCATGCTTTAAAATGTTAGAACTATATTTAGCCTCTAGCTGGCTGTATGAAAAAAAAAATCATGCCCTCCACCCCCTTCCCTCCCTGAATTTGTTTTTCTATCTTTCAGAAACTAGGTTGTTATTGCTTAAGAGCCTCTGAGATCCAAAGTCAGCCAGCATCCTTATTCTGCATCACTTCCTTTGTGTTTATATGGCGTTCTGTCTGTGTTGCTGTTTAGAGTAAATAAACTGTTTATATAAAGGGCTTTGTTTCATTTATCTTCATTAAAATGATTAAAAGACTGCCATTTAAATGGCTCTGAACACAATTCAGTGCAAGTCCTGTTTTTAAGGCCTGTGATGCTGCACTGACCTTTTCTTTAGATGTTGCCTTCACTTCTTTTCCCTGCCCCCACTCCCAACATGAATGCGGCCCTTCTTTGGGTGCTGAGTGGTACCTGCAGCTATTCAACTTTGATCGGTTCCTTCAACTGCTTACTAGCTACAGACCAGTTGCTTACTGTGCATAACAGGGATCAACATACTGGTGTGACCACGTTAACATAAAATAACACAAGCATTAGGCTGATATGAACAATAATAGAAGCTGCCCAAGGAATGCAAGGGGACCTACAGCTACTGGGGATTTTAAATGGTACTTGTTTATCAGAAATACTGCTGTGCCTTCTTCCGTATGTCAATGTATATAGCTCTTAGGAAAAGGACGTGCTCTATGCAATTACAGTTTCCTTCTGTAAAGGAAATCAGTTAAATTATGTAAGTTATTTTCATGTATGTCAAGCTGATATGCCCTCTATTAAACTTTCACTGATTTTTTTAATTGTATTTTTTCATCAAAATCATTCTGCAAAACGAATGAAGTGTGAAAACCTTTGTTCCATCTGAGCTGTAGCTTCAGTGCTTTGTTATTAAAAAATGGCTACTGCTAGAGACTTAAGTTATTCTAAGTGTGATACAGCTCTATTCTCAGATCTGTTCTCCTTGTCAGCATTTGATTATGATAGCTTTGTAACAGAAGAGCATTCCCCCAAATTAGAATAGCCAACACCCTCATACCATTCTCAGTCCTCTTAAAAATTGTTTGTGTAGGATTGCTTCCTTGTCACTGTCTAGAAATCCCTGTTAGAACAGCTGATTTGGGAAAGACTTCATACACTTGGGGTGGGAAAGTGAGTAACTGCAAAACTGAGTTAAAGATTCGCTGTCAAATTCATTTACTTAAGCTTTTTTTTCTTTTTAAAGGAAAATGGACTATTTGTACCACTAAAACTGCTGCTGTGACTCCCAGTTCTAGCTCCAGTAGGGCTAGCATTTGATCGCTCTAGTAGAAGAGGGTTAAGAGGTGAAAAATCTTACTGTGACTTGAAGAACTTGTATATCTGAAGGTAACACTATGAATTGTCCTCAGTATCTCCAATTCTACTGCAGAGCTGCTGAAGTTTAGGTTTAAGTTCCAGTTGGGTGCTGGAAACTCAAAAGAGCTTTCTATTTAAATGTACAGAAAACAGCTGCTAACAGCTGCACTTTCACTACATGAACTGGCGGGCATATGGAAAAGTGAACTAAGATACAAGTGCTGGTGAGAGTCTCTGACTCGAATCTTTAAGGGATTTAAGAGAGTGTGTATTTCTGAGTTGGCAGAGTGCCACTTCAAGCAATGCAAACGCAGACAGCAGCGCTGAGCCTGCTACCTGAAACGTCGCGGTACAGTCCTCAACAAAGTGCCAAAACGTTGTATGTTGCTTAGGACTGTCTATGAGAGTAAATTTAAAAAATAGCGTTTAAAGGTACTGAAAGGACATACTGAGATGTTAAAACAATTCTAGGAAGCATCTTTTCCTTTTAAGCTCAGGTAGTCGGTTTACCCTAAACTAGATGAAGTACTTGAAATACATACGGCAGGTTCAAGCCTGCAGAAAGGCAGAGGCTCCTTATGTGGCAGGTACTCTGAACAGGGCAAAACTTAGTCGTGTTTTCCAGTTGAAACATATAGCCCAGAAGTAAGAAGGGTTTACTTTAAGTACTATTAGGTAAAAATAATTCCTATAAACCATTTTTCCAGGCACATTGATTAGAATACCATTTTTCTTTAACTTGTAACTAAGCTTCAGGCTCTTTACATAATAATTCCATAAACATCTAAAAATTAAATAACCTAAAGCCTTTATGTGCATAAATAGACTTACAAACCCACATACAGCCTGAGCTTCACCTAAAGGAAGGCATTTGCTAAGCACCAAGTTACAGGTGAACAAGCCACACTGTTAACAAGAAAATTTCTTTATACAAGATGTTATTACAACTCTTTGGGATTGTCAGGGGAGTTATGTATTTGTGGTATGTGAGGTTGTTTGTTGGGGGTTTTGGGATTTCTTTTCATACTTTTCAAGTAGTTGATTTGTTGGCTGTTGTTGCAGCTACTTAACAGTACCATCATCATCTGGACTGCTCTCATCACTGCTTTCAGTGGCATCATCTGGAGGGCTCATGCTGTCCTCTTCAGAGTCTTCATTACTTTCTGCTAGTCTGGAAACATTTTTCAGAATTTTAAAACCAAAACAACTTATAAGAAGAAAAAAAAGTATTTAAATTAAATTTCATTACCCTGGGGAATTGATTGGTCTGTTGGGATTAGAAAATTCTTTTCCTGAGTCAACATCAAATGGATCTGGAAAAAGAAGGAAAAAAAGCATGCATTGATGAAGAAGCCATCTTTTAATGGTCTGCCTTTTTGTTTTAAGAGAAGAGTGCCAGGGAGGTGAAAGCATGGGAAGTTTGGTTCAGCTTTCTGATAAGTTTACCATAGTTCTTTGGTCAGAAACTAGGGGAGGTGAGAAACAACAGCCAAGTCCTGCCCCCCATTCTACTCTCTCACTCTTTTCCATGCCCTTATCCCCCCTGCCCCAAGGGGTTCAGTAGCTCTTTAGGGGTAGTCAGACTGTACACACAGGTTCCTGCGGCTTTTGGTAAGAAAATGTGGATGTTCTCGGAATGGCTGAGTTCTAAAAGGGCGTCTAGCGAGTTCATGTCTGCTGAGAAGTATAGCTGTCCAGGTTTAGCTCTTGCTGAGCAAGGGTACGGCTAGATTTACTTTGGCTTAGGCAGCTCGGGAGAACTGCTACCTCAGAAAAGTCAAACAAGGCACGACAGCTTTGGAACTACAGCCCATCCAGAAAAGACACAGGATCGTGGGTGGAAGTGTGCTTTATTTGGCATAGTAGTGTTGTCCCTTAAGAACTGTCTTCAGTTTCATGTAACAGTAGTTAGGCTTCCGCCAAACCACAGGATGACTTCATTCAGACGAGTGTGCCGTGGCAAAGAGATCAAAGTTCAGAGAAACTAAAGGCTGTCTACCCCCTCTTTACAGTGCGATCTCCTGGCCAAATTTTATGGGACTTAACCACTGTGAAAGGAAAACATTAATTAGGAGCATCTCTCTCTCTTCGTATGTTCTTGATCATTGGATTTGGCTTTTTTTTTTTTTTTTTCTGTCTTGAATGAGACCAAGCACTCACCTGTGAATATAGCCTGAAATACTGGGATACCAGTAAGTTTCAGGACAAATTTGGGAATAAACCACTGTACTTATTATAAGCTATTTTCATTATCTTTATAGGTCTGATTTTAAACATCTTAATTAGGGACTACACAAATATGTCCATTAAAGATCTTTCTTAGGTTTAGGCATAACTCACCTGCTGTCAGAGTGTATGCCTATATTTCTCTTCTAGTCCTCCTGAATGATTAATCTTTTTACTCACACTGCTCTTAACTTCGGTAGATAAAATGAGGAAGCCTCATATTTTCTTTTTACTCCATAGTTCTCCAGTATCCTTAATTTAATCAAGGTAGCCGCTCCACAGTTCAGCTGTGAATATGCTACTATACGCATTAAATTGCTTCAGTCATTTTCATCTTTTTGAGTTGAAAAAGACAGGCAAACTTGCTTAGAAGAAGAATACACAGTATAAAGACAGACCAACACATCTCAACACAGCTCTTCTACCTCACCAATATTTTCATGAGATTAAAGGAAAAGATTGTGAGGAAAGTAGGTTGGAGAAGGGGGGTGTGGTGTGTCTCTCTTTTTTCTTACCTATTTCTTCGTCTTTTGTTTCGTGGACACTAGCTAAAAAGTCCTTTTCAACTCTCAGCACTTCTTCCTGGCAGTGACAGGCTGCATATTTTTCCAAGAGACCTTTGTTCAAGTCAATAAACGCCTTACCCCATTTAAATTTCCTTAGAAGAATGGTGGCCAGGTCTGGGAATCCTAAAACAGAAAATAAATGATCAGTTTTCTTTTTCAGATTTCACCCAGTTTACACGTTTCTACGTTCAATACATACCCATGTGTCACTACAATAGTGAGATGTGTGCCAGCATTTTTAAGTGTTCAGGGATTCAGACTTTTTAAAAGATTAAAAATCTGTTCAAATTTCAGTGTAACTTGAAATATCGAACTGAATCCAAGAAAAGTTCAGTCTTTTAGTGAGCGTTATATAAAAATATTTTGTACAGGTAATGAACAATTTGAGCTCTAGCTGCCACAGTCCTTCAGTAAGAAAGCAGTTGTACATACAATATTTTCTGGAGATAAGATTTGTCCACAGTATAGTAGAGCACATCTCTTCAGTTGTCAACGAAGTTCTGTGATGAGTTTGCAAAACATCACAAGAGGGGGCGATTTCTTTTGTTCTTAACCAGAACCCACCCAATTAACAGGCAGCTCTTGCCTCTCTTTGAGACAGAGGTGCCCAGGGATTCACGCTCTGATTTCTCTGCCTTTTTTTAACAGTTTTTCTAACATTTTCTGACAACACCAGGATCATCAGTTTATGCGTCCTGTTTAGTAGCTGACGTGAACACCCCACAGATACCTCGATGCTGCCAGGTACAAGTACTTGGAAGAAAGCCAGACAATCTGGTTCCAAACTCAACAACGTGATGACCAGTGGGGCAGCATCACAGCCTATTTTATCACAGATCATCTCTTCTGATTTATTAGGGAGGTAAGAATTGTCGGTAACACATCAGACGCATTACAGCCTACCAACAATGCAAAAAGCTGCAGCAAAAGCTTCCACACAGGACAGCTTGCACGGGCGACCGTAGTTTATGGGGTTTGCAGCCACCAGGTACGGCAGCAGCCGTAGATGACCTCCTCTCATTCTCTGAAAGGGAGTTTCTTCCAGTTTGGCCCATGAGCAGTCTATGACTGCAATTCCACTCTGAGCAACGATGTGCCTGAAAAAAGAAACATCACGGTAGTTGAAAAATTGTTATTGTTGTATTGATAAAATAAGTTAAAGTGTCAGTTACAATTGCCACTTTATACTGGCAACAAATTTGCATACAACCCCCCTTTTGTCAATCAAAAAGCATATGTATTACAATGATCTAAAATACAGATGCAATGAGAAAGAATAATAACATGCTTTTCTGCCAAACATGCATGTACCAAAAAAGGTTTACCCATGCGTTTCAAACTGAAAGTGCAAAATTCTAGGTTTGAAAATGTGACAGAAGAGTGTGGTTAATAGTAACGTTCACATTCTTAAAAGTACATCCAAGTTCAGATTTAGGTTCTCCCCCAGCTTCTAAAGACTAATCTTTTTGCTGAGTAAAAACATCTTTATAAAAATTCTGCAGGCATATTTGAAGAAAATTCTCAGCATTTCTCAATGCTGAAAATTCTCAGCATTTCATTAATTTTCTAGTTAATGCACTGCATCTCCTGAAGAACCCAAATATGGAATCATAAAAGATACAGTAGCTATAGGCCTGTGATTCCGAACAACTTAACCTACAAACCACATACTTTCTCACTGGGATCTACAGATGCTTTCTTCACCCGATACCGGCTGGGTAAAAACGCTAACCTGATTTAAGGTGACGGCTCTATTTCTCACGTTCAGGCAGCAATGTAATGTAACAGGAAGGTCAAATTTATCCCGCAGCACGGTTTTGGCCATCAATGGGTGGTTAGAACGTTCTCCCCGACATACCCCATCCCCGCAAGGTTTGGGCTAAGCGCTCCCCCCGCCCGCCCCC